ACTCGCTTGATTTTAAATGGTCCTATACGCCGAGGTGCGAACTTCTTCGAAAATCCCTTGGAGGATTGACTCCGGGCATTATTAGTGATCAGGACAAGGTCTCCTGCCTGGTAAAGTTGAGCTTCTCGCCTCCCATGATCAGCAACTTCTTTGCGAAGATCTCGCTGACGTTCTTGTCTCCATTTAATCTCTTTAAGACTTTCCGCAAACATTTTTAAATACTGTGTAATTAGAGGGACGAAATTAGATTTATCTAATATGAAGCGGATATCGCTGATGACATGTATCAGTGAACGAAGTTCTCTACCAATAGTTAAGTAGGCAGCAGTCTGTCCTGTTCCCTGATTGTTCGCTGTATTTAACGCGAATCTCACCGAAAGTAAGCTCTTAGGCCAATCTGGTTGATTACTATTAAGCTGCATAGCGAGCATGGTCTTCATATCCCTGTTTTTACCTTCTGCAGGATTTGCTTGAGGATGATAAACTGTCGATAAGCTCGACTAATACCAAGTGTATGAAGAGACTTTTGCATGACAGCAGAAACCAACTATCATCATCAGATCACTATCGGAGATAATACGACAGGGTAGTCCATATCGCAGAAAAATGTCCTCAATTAAAATTTTGGCGCAAGCTTCAACAGTAGCTTCAACTATGGGAAGTATCTCTATCCATTGGCTTGCAACATCTTCAATCAAAAAGATCCGTTTCTCACCATTTTCCGATTCAGGCAGGGGTCCGAATAGGTCCATCGCAAGGACCTCGAATCTTTGTTGCATAACCGGAGTCTGAAGCAATCCAGCTGGCTTCAAATTACTAGGTTTGAATGACTGGCAAATATCGCAAGCCTTTAAATACTGGGTAACGAACTGACTCATCTGCGGAAAGAAGTACCTTTCTTTGATTTTCCTCAGAGTTCGTTTTACACTCAGGTGACCGGCAGTCGGTGCATCATGAAGTCCTTTTATAATCTCGCCTCTTAACGATCGTGGGACCACAAGTTGTGATTCTTTAGTCTCACCATCAGGATCCACTCTATATAATACACCTTGCACGACATAATATCCACTGTCAGTCCAACTGGTAAACTTCATGTCCTCGCTTTCAAAATCCTTTGAAATATTTTGGACGTACGGATCCTCTAACTGTGCAGCACGAATCTCAGAACCATCACGATGGTGCAAATCAATGGAAACAGGACAGAAGTCACAAGATGCATTTTCTGTCGAAGAGGAATGAGGCGGTCGACTAAGGGTATCGGCAATCACATTAATTTTTCCGGGTGTATACTCTTTATTTAAATGATACGCTTGGATCTTCATAGCCCATTGTGCAAGACGACCGCTGGGTATTTTAAGAGACATCAGCCATCGCAGTGGTTGATGATCAGTGGCGATCTGAATCTGCGAATCTTCCACATAGCCCCTGAGTTTATCAAGAGCCAAGACCACCGCTAGAGCCTCAGGTTGTGGTTGTGGTGGTATAATTGCGCTCAGCTGCAGTCAACAACCTACTAGCGTACTCGACTGGGCGTTCGTCTTTGGCTTCTTTATCTTGCATTAACACAGCACCCAATGCGTAGGCGCTAGCGTCGGTGCGAATAATGAATGGAACTTTAAAATCCGGCTGGCAAAGAAAGCATTGTGCCTTCGTTACCACTAAGAGCTATTGACAAACTCATTTTTGAAAACTAACGGAAAATATGTGCCTGTTACATCTCTTAATGAAAATCTATTTAGGTTTAGATCGATTACTATTCCCGAATCTTTAATAAAATTCATGCCAAGTAATGTGTCCTTGGCATCTGGTAATAAAACGAAAGTCGTGGAGACAACAATTCCACAAATAGCAACATTTACAGTAGCGATTTCCACATTTCTATTACAAACTGAACCATCAGCTAATTTATTTCAAGTTCAGAGTTAATCAACCTATAATTATTACTAATCGAGCATAAGATTCTGTCAGTTTTGTATGTACCGCTGATACTGATTCATAATAATAATAATAATTATTATTATAAGCTACATTAGTACAAATACTTGAAAACATAGCATCTGCAGCCGAACTAGGAGACCTGTGCATCAGCTGTCAGCGTCATATCTCCACCGTTAATTTATAAAAATATTAGGATGCGAGCAAAAGTTAAATAATCAAATACTATCTAAAAATTTGTACATTCCGCTAATATAACCTAAGTAAAATGAAATTAATTGGATCACATATTATGTTTATATACTATGTTACCACTTATTAATACCAAAGCACAAACATAATAATAATTTATACTACTAATGTCGTTCCTCTCTCATAAGATGTGTAATGTATGACTGTAAGAAATAATTATGTTCTGAGTGTAATGTTTGTGAGCAGTTATGTGAGAGGAGCGTGTAAAATGGGGTAGTATTACGGGTGACAGTTATATCGGGTGTCCTAGAAGTCGACGTCAAGCCGAAACTTTCTGATAGGGGAGGGCATACTAGTTACCAGAAAAATATAAAAAATCTAAGTCATATATTTCAGAAATTATCGTAATTTTTTTTTCGATAAATTGTTCACCATGAGACAGTTTTTTCATTCCTGTTGCTACAATATTTACGTTTTGCCAATTTTGTTTCTCTTACATCATCCTGAATAGTGCTTCTGTAACCTATAATCCTAAACCCTGTGCCAATCTCTCCAGATTGAAAGAAAATGTAATTTTATACCGAACCAAGTTTTCAGAATTAGTTTTTCGCACTACTTCAACTGACCGTCCTGGAAAAAATTGTACTACGCCAGTTTGGCAAGTAGCTTTAAAAGTTAGCGCATTTAATAAGGATTCTAACGTGGTATAACACTTACTCCATTATTTCTTAAATCAGCCATAAAAATTTTTTTTGTTAAACAAATTCGGTTTTTAACGATTTTTTGGAACTTACGAGTACATTAAAACGATTCTACGAGTATGCAAGCGTTCCTAATGACCACAGCGTGGTTTAAATGAGATAGAGAGAGATATTCCATAAAGTGTGAGCGAGACAAATAGTGACGCTTATGAGAATGATCGTTAATATAAACAGATGTCTTACTGTAAGGACCTGACAGTTATCATAATGCTGTGATGTAGGATAAAGAAAAGGTTTAAATGTTGCAACTTTGAGTATAGCACGTGGAGAGATTTCTATCTTTCGTAACACCATTTTGGAGGCTGACATAAAGCTAAGTAAACTCGTTTTAATATATTTAATCCAAAACGTGTCTAATAGTTTTAAAAATATATATTAATTTATGAATTCTTTTGCTAAGTGTGTTAATATGTAGTTTAAAACTTAATTTACTATCTATTATAACCCCTAGATATTTAATATATTCAACAGACTCAAGTGAAACGCAGAAACAGCAATTATCCATTGTTGAACAATCAAATTGTTACGAGCTTAGGGTTCGTGACAATAAAACTGCCGATTGAATTACCAAAATGAACACTTTAATTCACTTTATTTAAAAGACACTAATAATTAATCACACTGATTCACTTTATTTCGCTCCGAAGCTTCGCTTGTCTCGCCAAGTTCAATACTGCCCCGATCACTTATTGCAGCGCCTTTAAATACACGTTTTTCCCCGAAACATCCAGAATATTCAAGTAAATACGCGCGCCAACCGACCAGGCGCCGAAAGTTCGAGTGTGGGGCTCCTAGAAGCTTAGTTCTTCAATTCGATACTAGATGGCACTGTTGGTTGAAAGATTAGTCATGTCATTTTCTGGAAAGCTCTCCTCGCTCTGTTACCCGACACCAGATGGCGCTAGTGACAGACGTCAACTTAGGCGTGCAACAATATAAATGAATCACTAAGTTAAAATTTTCAAGGTTGCGAATGGGTTTTCTTAATGAATAAACTGCGGATATATTTTGTTTTCGCAATATTGATTGAAAGTTTATTACTGTAAAGCCAATTTTGCATTTATACCTAATTGTGCAGACGAGAATACATCTTTCCACTTATCCGCAGAAAATATCAAAACAGTGTCATCTGCATATGAAATTATATGTCCCGGAAAGAGATCAAATTTTGTAAAATTATTAATATAAATAAAAAATAAGGTTGGGCCGAGTACACTCCCTTGTGGTACGCCGTGTGTTACTAGTCAATCATTGCTGGTAATATTATTTACACTAACGCATTGATATCTCTCAGAAACATAACTTTTGAATAATTTGAGATGAGTGCCTCTGATACCGACATTTTCCAGTCTTTTTAAAAGTATTTTTATTGACACGGTATCGAATGCTTTCGACAAATCTAAGAAAACTGAAATACAATTTTTTCCACTGTCTAAATACGATAGCAAAAAATTTGTAAGAGTATGAACGGCAAACTCTGTTGATTTGCCATGTCTAAAACCAAACTGTGTATTTGACAATAAATTATTTTTCCCCAGATATTTTGTAAGTCTATTATTTATAATTTTCTCTAAAATTTTGGATAAGGCGGGTAATATAGAGATAGGTCTGTAATTACTTAAACAGGTTTTTTCACCATATTTAAAATTAGGTTGAATTACGGACTTCTTGAGATATCTAGGGAATACACCATCATTTAAACATTGATTAAATATACAAATTAAAGGAGGTATTAACAAATACTTAAAAATTTTAATAAATTTATTCGAAATTCCATCCCAACCAACTGAGCGGTCTGTTTTCAAATTATCGATTAATTGTTCTATTTCACTTTCATCCGTATCCAATAAAGCAAATTTGAAAGAAATGATGAAAGATTGGAAAGAAACAGAATTTGTCACTCTCAAAGAACCACTGTCTTTCTTGCAATTGCCACAGTGTGAACGTACCACGCCTGGTGCACCACATCCAAAACAAACAACTGAAGTACTTTAGCATCTGATTCATTATTACTTATGTAATTTTTTGTTAATCCATTTTAACTTGTGGCCGTTTTTGACATGTTTCCTTATCATGACCATATTTCTTACAGTATGCACAGTGAGGTATAAACTAATTATTCCCACTATAACTTGTTGCAACAGACGCATTTAGTCGCGCCTTATTATTATTAGGGGTAGATGAAGATACACCTAATGATCTATTAGAGGAAATTTGCTGACGACTATATGGTCTCATTCGTCCTTCTTCAAAAAGGTCTTCTACAGCACGTGCTTTTTCAAGTAACTCTGAAAATGTCTTAAAGGAGGATCTGATTACCTTTTTACGTATTTTCCTATTCAGCAGTCCATAAACCATGCCTAACTGTACAGGATTCTCAGCTAACGTTCCTGGTGGTAATTGTGCTAGCTGGGCTCTTGCTATACAAACAAATACATCCGTGCTTTCATCGCCTTGCTCATTACTAAACAGTTCTCTATATATTTTATGCGGTATAATAAAAAATACTCTATATATTTTATGCGGTGGAAGACGGGCACCATAAGTATGTTTTAACAACTGCATTGCTTTCGTCCAGGTCAATACTGATTGTTTCACTCTTAGCCACCATGTTGCAGCCAATCCAGTTAATAACATGGGCAATCCCCGAAGAGCGATATTCTCTTCCATAGCAACACATTCTTTATATACCTCGATAGCTTCTATAAAAGCTAAAACATATACATCCTTAGAACCATCAAATCTAGCTGTACATCTAGCAAAATTACTATTGCTATTCATGTTGTATGATGGGTCAACCATTGATAGAATTTGAGAAAGTTGATAATCTGTAATGATAACTGATGTTGGTCCAGGAGTGATATTAGGTTGCATAGATACTGTATCTGACTTTTGATGGGTTGACACTGGTTGATTAGTTGATGTCATACTAGCGTCATCCATTTGTGTGGAACTGTCTAGAGACGCTAGCTGTGATGTTGTTGCATCACGCACCTGAGGAGACACCGGGTGGTTCATCAAAATCTGTGGGCTACCATCATTCTGGACAGCAGCCGAAGTTGTTGAAGCCATAGTTGAGTTCTGATCAGAACTTATAGTACAACATCTAGTTAGAACCATTTTTTTATATATGTACTAGCTTGCCAGGCAGACGTTGTTCTGCTCTTTTCGACGACCCTTTGTCATGTCCTATTAAAAATCCTCAAATTCGCAAAAAAAATTGTGGGCCCCTCATAGGCAAAAAAACTATCCTATCTCAAGTTGGAGAATGTTGAGGGGAGTTTTTATATATTAGATTGTAATTATATGACCAACAATACACATAAAATTAATTTTTAGTTACAACAAGTATTAATTTAATACAATAATTTTTAATTAAATTAATCAATGAGCGTCGCATCACTACTCAACCATTCCAGCATTTACTAGTATTTACTAAATAATCATATTGAAATGATAATATTGTTTTATTTTAAAATGGGAAGACCGATTTAATTATTTGCCTAATACTTACATCAGTATCATTCATATTAAAAATGAAGAAATTCTTTTCTTAATAGTCACCACAATATTGTAGTAATAAAATTGAAAAGAAAACTTTCGTTTCTTATATTTGTAACAATATAGGTACTGACTAAATTATTTTAACATTTAAGCATCAACTTTTAAACAAAAAAAGACTCAACATAATATAAGTATTATCATAGTAAAAACAGAATCAATATGAGCAGTTATATTATTATTAACAGTAATTAACTACTAATTTGTACACAACCAATATAATTAATATTATTATAAGTAGGTTTCTGTTTATTAAATTAAAATTAATAATATGTAAACATTTATATTGATAACATTGAATTGTTTCTTTATTTAACATAAAATTAATAACCCTAAATCACCAGTTTAGATACTTACATTGAATTTTAAACAGCTTAACTCAGAGTTTATATTTATTTTCCTATACTGATAACCAATTAATATCCTTTGTTTCTTACTATTTCTGTAATGAATAACTTGAGATTATGATTTTTTTAAATAAGTAACTTATTAGATACCTGAATATGTATATGAATCGGGTCCCACGTATGATTCGGCTATCGTGTACTTAAGAGCAATTTTAGTGACAACTTTTTAATTAGTTTATTTTTGATGTTTTAGTTACCTCTTGTTTTTAATTGTTTTTGTTATTTCTTATTTTTATTGGTTTCATTGTTATATATATATATATATATATATATATATATGATCTCTTTACGGTAAATGTTGATCAGACGCGACTTCACGCGAGCACTTTGTTGATCCGAAAACGCATGTTGATCCGGCGCCTTTTGTTGATCCAATATGCATCTCTGGTAAATAATGTGGCTCCAACCGGATCAACATCTGTAATCACGAGACTGTTTGTTAGCGTTGGCCGAAGTTGATCTGATATACAAATCCACCTTGCGATGGTTACGGAAAATGTTGATCCGATTTAAATGAGCCAATCAGAGCACAGCAAACGATAAGATAAACGATCGGATTGGCTGAATGCAGCCGCGACGTTGTCGTTTCGTATCTTTGGCGGTACAAGCTACGGATTAAATGCGTGTTATGTAATGCATTCAGGGTGCTGTTTGGTCTACCTCGTTATTGTAAGGCGCCGGGTATGTTCGCGGATGCGCGTGTGGATTGTTTCTAGACCACCATGCGTAAACGATGCACATCCCCGGTGCGCAGGGTGCGGGCCAGTTCCAATGGTATCCTGAGGGCATTTTCTGCCAGTTTTGAGATCAGTACCTGAACCATTGTCATATGGTGCACGCGCTGACTAATCGGTCCTGTCTTATATATAGTTTTAAAATTAGGTAAATTGTTTTAAGTGTTACGAAAATTAGTTTTAAGATTTGTATTATTACTAACATCTATGATCCTTGTCGTCGAAATAAACGACTTATTTTAACGAATTACTCGACAACGCCCCTTCTTGTAGCGGAAGTGGTGGCAAAGGCGACATAAGGTATTCGTCTGAGTGCATGTTTGCGTGCGTGTGTGTGTCTGTGTGTGTGTGTGTGTTTGTGTGTGTGTGTGCTGTGCGTGTGTGTGTGTGTGTGTGTGTGTGTGTGTTTTTGTGAGTGTGTGTTTGTTTGTGTACATATGTGTGCGTATGCGTTTGTGTGTGTGAATGGGTGTGCGTGTGTGCATGTGTGCATGTGTGCACTGTTGTGTTTGTGTGTGTGCGTGCGTGTGCGGTAGTGTGCGTGTGTGAGTGTGTGTATGCGTTTGTGCGTGTGCGCATGTGTGCATGTATGCGCGCGCGCTTGCGTGTTTGTGTGTGTATGTGTGTTTACCATATACCAGTTAACATATTTTCTACATCTTCATAATCAAGATTTTTAAGGACGCTTTTACAAAATTGATAGGTATAAAATCGAACTATTACATGAGATATTATCATGAGACCTTACCTCCGGTCTTGATGGAGTGACCTCAAAATGTAATTCGGGATTACTAGTGGAACTCTTGGACTAGTGGAACTGGGTGTGCTGAGTTTGGGCTCGTTTTGTTAGTTATGATGAGTCCTTACCTCCGGACATGCTGAAGTGACCTGAAGGTGTACTTCGGTAACTAACACTGTAACACCTGGACTGGTAAAACTAGGTATGCCGAGTTTGGGTTTGTTTTGTTAGTTATGATGAAACCGTCACAAAACAAAAGTTTTTTTCACTTTGTCTCTAGTACCAATAAGTATCCAAGCTGATATTCGGAAAAATGAATAACCTCGTAGTAACATCTTTAGGGGCAGTATCGATATCCACTTACGAGCCACACTGTTTTTCGCTGTAACTAACTGTACTTTATATGAGCCTCAGTTGCCCTCACGCGGTACCCACTTTACTGTACTCCAGTGCACCCACCACCACCTCTGCCACTTACGCCTTCACATCTACCACCGCACCCCTCTCTAAGCCTTCGTTCTCCACCTCCGCTACCTCCTCCTCCACCATAAACTCTGCTCCATCCGCCTCAACAATAAACTCCGCTCCCTCCGCCGCCACGACCACGCGCCGTCACTATTCTTTCCGCCTCCAACACAATTCCCCGTTTCCACTATCTCCGACTTCACCACAAATTCCTCTCCTCCGCCTTCACGACATACTACGCTGCATTCACCTCGCCTCCACGTCTCCATTCTCCGCCTCCGATTTCTGGGCGCACACACACACACACATACACACACTCACACACACACGCACACGCATACACACACGCACACACACACACACACATACACACACAAACACGCACTCAGACGAACACACACGCACGCGCATACACACACGCGCTCTCGCGCTCTCACACAAATACACACACACACAAACATACGCACACCTACACACACAGAAACACACACACACACACACACACACACAAACACACAAACACAGACCACAAACACACACACACACGCACACACATACATACACGCGCGCGCACACATACACACCCACACACACACCCGCACATACACTCACACACACGCGCACGCACGAACGAACACACATACACGCACAAGCACGTACACAAACACAAAACAACAGTGGACACACGCACAACCCCACACACACACACACACACACACACACACACACACACACACACACACACACACACACACACACACACACACACACACACACACGCACGCACACGCACACGCACGCACATACACAATCACACACACACACACACACACACACACACACACACACACACACACACACACACACACACACATACACACACACACGCACGATCAACAGTTAACACACGCACGCACGCACGCACACACACACACACACACACACACACACACTAACTCACACATATGCGCGCGCGCACACAAACTAACACACATTCGCACGTACTAAAAAACACAATAGTGCACACACGCACACATACACTCACACACACGCGCACGCACATGCGTTCACACGAACACACATGAACGCACATACATTACACACATGAACGCATATACACACGCGCACTCAAACTCGCGTAACACTCACACACAAACACACACACACACACACACACACACACTCGAGTGACAAATTAATTTGTAATAATAAAGTACTATCCATCATCTTCTAAGTGATCTTTGACAAATGAATAAAATAACACAAATTCACTCACACGATAACAAAAACTCGAACAAACGTCTTTCCACAATAAAACCTGCCAAAGTTTGATCCACAAAATCAGCAGATAACGTATTTTCTTACCTTATTACTATAACGAAGTAGCCTACTGGGTTCTCTGTCACACACAGAACGCGACGTTGCCGCTTCGTGTTCGAGTACCTATTCGTCAATTATGGCTCCGGATCCACTTAGTCTAAGTAAATGTCGCATATAAATTAAATATACTCTGGATCTAAAAAATCATATTCAGTATGATTTTTTCGGCCGTTAATAGATCAACAATTGTTGGTCAAATCTCTGACGAGTATATTGAAAACCTGTTAGTGCAGATCCACCGACGTCACACGCGCATCAAGGATGGATGAAAGTATATCAGTTTGTGCGACGAGGAGCTGAGCAAACACGTCAAATAGGTGGACCAACAATTGTTCTAACTTCTCACTGGATCAACATTTACCGTGAAAGGATGATTATATATATATATATATATATTCGACATCTAAGGCGTGATTAGGCGGGTCAACCATAAGGCCAAACAAACCCATATCAAAAAAGCAATGAATCGTGATAGTCCACGCAGGAAGTGAGACAGATTTTTGTTCTATTGAGATTTACAGACGTGAGTATATACATTAAATACTATATAGTAAATAATAAAATAACGGTCACTAATATCTTCAAGATTACTGTATCAAAGGTGAACACATAGGCATGGCAATTATGATAGTAAAAATTTTTTTGGTTGCTTGGGTTTTAGAGTTTATAATCCGATAACTTATTATTATCTATTATTATTTTTAAAAATGTTATGTGCTTCTGAACTTACCGACATGTGCCGATTATTTTCTACGGTCGCTATGAGGTCACTAACACGGCCGCCCC